GAACTGGTACGGCTACGAACAATGGCGCCAAAGCCGTCTTCAGGATTTGAAACAGAAGTATGATCCTAAGGGGAAGTTCAGTTTCTTCGGTCCTGTCGACGTGAAGTAATTTCATTACTCTATTCTACCAATTCTCTCCATTACTAGCAAGACAATAACATAACAACAATGATCTACAATTCGATTGATGTGGTTGTTGAAACTCTATTAGGTCAGGCAGTTGCTTCGTATACTGTACAAGAGCACAGGACATCTCATCATGTATATAAACAGGTCTTCCTGCCTCTCTAGTGTAGTAGCCGATTAGCTGACATATACGCTCATATAACTTCATTAGTGGTAATGGACTGTGCGGGTGCCTTCGGCGTCCCAGACCCAACCCAGTGCAATCGAAAAGCGCTCACTGAAGTAAATCGTCTGGGAATCCCAAAGAAATCATCGTACGGTGACATTGCCACGTATGATGCATAAATACTGGGAGTGCATACAGGGGTTGCACTGAGATCGGAATACTCCCCTCATCCAGAATCGGCCCATCATACCTATTTCTTTACGTCAAGGTAAGATAGTCCTATAGGTTATTTGTATGGGGCAAAATGCTCGCGTAGGCATTGGAAAATGACATTCTTAGCGTGTAGTATATAAGCAGATTGGATCGCAGGCATCGTTTAAAGATCTACATTTTTCGTGTAAGCTTGTTACGATGGTATTCGACTAACCTTAGTCAATCACAACTGCCATTCTGGGGTTTCCGGGGTTTGAGCGCTAGTGAGAAGAGAATTCAGCCTAGTTTGAGAGAGTGAAAGGAATGAGACATGGTCGGCAACGTTTCAATACATATGCATGTTTGTACTCTTATTGTAATCGTGCCAGTTATATCGAGAGCCTCTACTTTAAAGGGAACGGATACTGTCGCCACTGAATCACGATGACATAGCCATGGTTTTCGGATACCAGGCATCGTTATGTTAGACCCCGCACTTCGTGACATATCAGTTTCTAAGCATTTGCCAAGTTTTGAATACAAGAAAGGAGCCTGGAGATGCCGAATGAGATAACGTAGTGCGTCATACAACTTGGAAGCACTACGTTTTCATGTATACTAAAAATCGGGAAGGTAGCTTGAATTAACTCTTAGTATTTCTCAGACACGTTGAGTTATAATTAGGTCCTAACATATATATAAGATACTGCAAGGTTATCAGGACTTTATCTTCGCCTTCGAATTTTTATAAAGCTGTATATCATCGGAAACTGTCACTCCGTTAGAAAAGAGAAAAGAAGAAATAATCATGCTCGCTGTTATATTTCTATTCTCTGCTGCAGCTCTCATCGGGTTGTCGTTATGGAGAATACTTAAAGTGCATCGCAATACCATCCCTAATCCCAGGAAGGCTACCAGGATGCAACACCTGCGAACAATCGCAGCTCAGCATAATGTAGCCGCATCTTTGGTCACTATGATTGATCGAGATGGAGCTGGTGACGTATAAACTTTCCATCATATGAAGTCTCGAGATTCTTATGATACTCCTTTACATCCACCTTCTTATGTTTTGAGGCTGGTCTCTAACATCGCCTTTAAAAGTGGCCACCTAGGGCGAATCATGAATCGTGGCCAGCTGCCATCCTACCATATAGGTCCATTTATGTAGAGCTACTTCCCCTGTTATACACGGATACACCCTCTTTGGACGACGACGCCAATGCTAAGCGGCGAGAGAGGTATCGTGTAGCAATGGGAAGCCTTCTCAGAGATAGGATCGACCTTAGCGTAGTAATCAGAATTCTTGAGGAGGTCGAGGCAGACAATTGGACCGCCATGTCTCGAGACACCCTCAACGGCTTTTACTGTTGCATTGCTCTCTCGCGCCATGCATATAGGTAGAAGCTTTCACATTCCACATTCTACAAGTAGTAATGTTAACTGAATTACAGGTGGGCTGCGCTACCAGTCGTAAAGGTAGCTCAGCTAGAGAAGGTAGTTGATTTTCCCACTGAGCTGTCCGTCACCTGGCCATACCTGCAGCGATATTACGGCTTTACCTCAGACGGTGGAAACCATACTTCTAATGTCCTTATGAACTTCAATACAAGGGGCGAGAGAATATTTAAATTCAATAATTCGCCTTACCCACTCATTCAGTCGGCGGAGGAGGGTTTCTTTAGACTACTTTATGATATTGATGTTATGGTCAGTTGAGTCTCCTTGGCTCGAAGGGTAGTCATCTTACACTTATACACAGTCATTTGATATTTTCTATGATATCGTTATCGTTATCACCTCATTCGAAGACGGGGACATGCGCGCCTGTCTCAAAAGCTTACAAAAAATCAATTTAAATCTTCGCGAGCTTTTCGTTCTCTTCAACCAAAAAATGAGGGAAGAAAACGTCTCCCGCAAAGTCTGGTTGAACCATGTACAGAGCATTCACGCATGGGGCGCGGGTAGAATGATTGATAACGAGTTTATTCAATTCGACGGAGTTTCTGGCAATCAAATTCTAATATTCCAGGCTCTTGACGCTCTCTTAGGTATGGGGACATATCACCCCGAGGAGGACTTAAAGAGATACATACCTGCTAGCCAGCGAGGTTTCTGCAAGTCTATCAAAGAATATTCTTTCCGGTCTTGCTTGAAGGGTAGAGAAGACGCAGCAATAAAGACGGAATTCGAACTCCTTGTCAATCAGTTAAAGGTGGGTATCTCTCTAGAAGCTCAACGCACCACATTAGGGCTAATATCCAAAGCGATATCGTGCCGTTCACAAAAGTAGGGTAATGCCTTATTTAAAGAACCCGGCACCAGAACGCTACCATATGACTACTAAAACATCAGTTCTGACAACTGATCCTGGTGTCGGTATTGACGAAGCACTGAAACCTCTAGAGCAGATGTTGGTCAATAGATCAATGCAGACAGTCTAAGTATGTGGTACTGACTGTCATATCCTAAGCCCGGGTATATTACGGATTCACGTTGTTGTACAAGAGTCTAGCATGATAATACTGGTCTGCCAAATATACACAAAAACAGTAACCCGAAAAGTGGCGATGATATAACACTGGCGACGGGTAGTGTAGTTCACGCAGTGGTGCTTATGCGAGCACTCGAGGGCTTACGAACACTTCTCTCGCGCAATAATCATACGTACGACATTATATATTCATGCTGGGTAGATTATTTGGAAGGCGAGTCTATGTAGGTAGCTGGCTTCTTTTACTTCGGTGATCGGTTGAGGTATCAGGCTATTAATCCAATTCCAACAGCATGAGCCTTTTTTATCGGTTGTGGTTTAGTCTCTCATACAAGAACTATTTTTTTTTTAAATCGTGTAAGTTCGTTCCCGTATTGATTTATCTTCTCTTTTTCTATTAGACTAAACCAGCTCTGTGACTATATCAGGCTAGGCGGAGATTGATTGTATTAGACAAGTTTACAAGATTCAGTCTTGCAAGATGAAAATGTTACGCCATTTTGAGACTCGCCTTGGTACTTACTGTCATAATGCAAAGGATTTTATTGTCAGAATCATTACAGATCCTGCTAAGATAACTCGCAATTCAACCTTCTGATGCTAACTTTTAAGCGAGCTACACGCGCTCACATTAATTCTTGACTCTTATAGTTACTAACCTATGGTTATTAATAATACTACAACACCTCTTTTGTCGCAATTAAAATTTCCAAAGCCACGGAACATTCCTGCAGCACTTAACCCCAACACTATCAAAAGATAGAACATTGTCAAGTCGAGCGACTTGGCTACCGTAACACCGAATTTCGAACAGGTAATCGGTAGGTGTCTTTCATCCTTGATCTCAAGCTCACGTTTCTCAAAAGTCTCTATGAGAAACTACTATAGCCTGATTCGTAGTCTCGTAAAAGAGTTAAGAAAATGACACATGATTCAATAGTCATCAGAGATCTAAAGCGTTGGAGCGATGAGTGACGTATTTATCAGCATTTAAGTTGTATATAGAGTGAAACTAAGCTGCCAGTAGGTTGCAGTTAGGTCGAAGGTAGGGGGTGGGACTCAATATTATTGATTCATGAGTCTCTCCCAACTAATTGGGGGAGACTTAGGCCTCTACATAGCGGAATATATACTATATTTCCACTCATAAAGACCCTACTAGCCCCCTGCGCATTTAGTGCATGACAGCAATGATAGGTGATGATACTATGATAATGGCAATTAAACATTGAAAGATTTGCATCTGTACTGAACGTCGTTAAGTGGTTTTCTTTCAGGAGACAAGGGATTCTCATTTTAAGCGTTGTCCATCATGCGGGTAAGAAAAATGCCAACTAAGACAGACGGCCGAGCCTATGAAGCATGTGATCGGCTCAAGCTATCATACAAAGATGTCTGATTTTTTTATTGTTGCCCCTGGGGAATTTAGGTGCCATAGAATAAAACTGCATCACTACATAAAAAACTGTCAGCATAAAACAAAGTTAAGTTGAGTGCTTAAAATTTACAGTTGTTATATATATATATATATAGCTTATGGATTTAATTCCAGATTAAACTTAACTGTTATTATAAATTATATGTTTTACTTAAATCACATAATAAATAGTTTAATAAAATGTTACCTGAACTACTCACCCCTTAGTATATAAATATTATAAAGGTTAAGTTAATAAGATTATATAATAAACCTGCGTGGTGGCATTTTATATAACCAGCTATCTGTCCTACTTATTCTTGTTATCACGTTTGCGTGCAATATTAAATACCCATTCCAGGCATTAACCAGTATGCTAGCTAGCCCTTGCTATCTATATAGAACGTCACTACGTTACGTTATGAAGTTTGTTGTATGTGTTATCTTTTACATGTTTAGCTCAGTTTAAAGGTGGAATTACATAGATCGCTTTACGGTAGTCCAGACAAAGTTTGGAAGGCCCACCGTCCCCGGCGTCTATCTTTGAATTCAATCACACATGATAGTTCTTAATTGGAGAGAAAGAAAAAGAAAAAACTATTGAGTGGACGAACGGGGATTTGAACCCCGGACCCTTCGCAAGCATTGATTCATCTTGCCTGACCTCAACCAAGCAACCAGTGCAAAGCGAATATCATACCCCTAGACCATTCGCCCAATGTGTTTGACAGCATAAAAATATTAAGGACTATCACCATATGGTTCCTCCACTTTTGATCTGATAAGAACCATTCACCCTGCGATGGTATAGTTCATGACAAACGAGATGAGCAGGGCTCAAAGGTTACTAAGTGAACACCTTTTAAGAGGGGAAGATTACGAACAGTGAACAGGAAGGGTTGCACATTTAAGGTAAAGGACTTCATACTACAAGACTCTTTTGTAACGGAACTTTAAACAATCGTGATTTTTCTTCCTTTTCTTTAACTGCTGCTACTTTTGTTCTATTGTCTTCTTTTTTTTCCTTTTTTTTTTTTTCCTTTCAGACGGTTTTAAAATCAGGTTCGAGTTAGCTAAAGACAAGTTATCATCTCTCAAGTAATACGAAGCATGCTGTTTGGATTTGCATTGTTATCAACCGCGTCTTTGACGGTCATTCTACATTTGGCCTGATGAAAACAAGCCTACTTACGATTAATGAACCCACGTGGTCGACCAAGGTACGACTTACTTACATACTGTTAGCAACAATCAAGTCAAATTAGTAGTGAGGTGCCAGGACTGATGCTGGGACGTCCTATGTCTGACCAGGAGTTGTTTGTTCACAACTTCCTCAGACTGGTAGGTAGAATGACCATTGCCGGGTTTTCTTCCGAGTCTAAAAGGCCCCGCTCGCCACGCTGTACCCATCAGGCGCAGGCCCGGAGTTGGAAGCGCGTGGCTCGGACGTCATGCTATGTCTGTCGTACACAGAGCTGGAGATAGATGATGCGCTGTCATCGCTATCGTAAATAGAGCTGGGAGGACGCTGTGGAGGGCGCGGCGTGTGTTGGGATGGGTGTTCGTCGTCCTTCGTCTTGAAGCGCTCCGCGAGGAACGCGTGGCGTTGCGCAGACAAAGTAGAATCGATATCCGACCCAGCGACGAAGACTTTCCGGTTCGGTCCCGCGTTGTCTCGTGCCGTTGGGGGGTAGCGACGACCGTGTGGAGGAGCAGGCCAGTTTGTCGGCGCGTCCCCATGCTTCTTCGATGGCGAGGTACGGTCCTCAGGGTTAGTCTTATTTGTTGATTGACCCTTGTGCTGGCGCGAACTAATCGTTGATTGTGATTTATTTCGGACACTTGAGCTCGTTTCACTTCTGCTCGTTGGTGGGCGTGGTAAAGCTGTGGGTGTCTTAGCGCTGACCTCTGACGAGCGTTTCCGATGTTTATATACAGAGGGTAATTTTGGCACCGGTGGTATGTCTTCCGCAGTGGGATGGATAGTGCTTGAATCTACCGTGTAGACAGTACAATCCGTCCACTCGCTCACTACAGTGCCGCGATCTCCCGAGGTCTGGGTTGGCGGGCCACGATCGTTTCTGACGTGAAGCGGGCTGGGCAAAGCAGACTCGGCGATACGAGTACCGCTAGGGCGGAAAGCAGGGTGTACCATAGACACCGATCGCGCATCATCATGGGCCAAATCCAATCGAGATTCGTATATCATGCTGGCCCACCATTCTTGAACTCTGACTCGGCTTCTCTCTTCCTCCTCATAGTCCCTTTCATCGTCTTCATGTCCTTCTTCGAAGTCATAGGGGCTAGGTTCGTCATTTATGGACATAGCTTGCTCGAACTGATTGATAAAAGATCGTGTAGGTAAACCGTTGCTCGTCCCACTGTCTCGAGAGGGTTCAGGGGCAGGAGGGCGAGGACCAGGTGGGAAGTCGCGAGTAAGCCGTTGTCGCTCATTAACTACTGAGTACCCGGAAAGACTATCGGGACGATAAATACTCTCAGCTCTGTTCATGTACATAGCGGACTGTCTTTGATCTGCAGCGCTCTCGATGTCTGCTAAGGCGACAGGAATCCCATCTCTTGTTCGTCTTTTATGGCTGGCATTAGTGGGTAGAGGAGCAATCTTGGTCCCTTTTTTGGTCCTCCTAAGCTCGGTGTATACAGAGCGTTTTGAAGCTTGCTTCTGTTCGGCTCGCCACGCTTCGATTTGGGGTCTAGCCATCCTTAATTTTTCGACGACAGTCTCGCTCATAGCTCTGCATTCTTCAGATCGGCCCGTTCCCTCACGGTGCTTTTGAAGATGATCGATCCAAGCTTCCACCACACGGTATAGACGAGGTTCTTGTCCTGAAGGCATCGCCCTGCGTCGTTCCATACGATCTATTAGAGATGCTCGAAGGTCCGCCAGTGCTCGGCCACTGGCACCGACAGCCGCAAGGCAGCATGCTTCACATGCAGACTTCACAAATACGTGGTGGCCATCGAAGGGGGCGAGCCCATAAATATCGTGGAAAAGCTGCGGTTCAGTCCACAATGCTGCGATGGAGTCAAGTCGACCAACAAAAGCAGAAAGCTCGGGCGCGGAAGTTCTGCCGGGCCATGAACGCAGCGCGTCTGTGTGAACAGTGACTTCATATGCAAGAGCAATGAACAGTCTTCGGATCAGAAAGGGATTGAGGCTAGAATGGGTTTTACAGAGTATGGCTCGAGGGTCCACTATATTCGGGTCAATGCTATCGACGATCTTTGTTGCTAGGCGTTTGAGGATGTTCGATGATTTTAATAATTCCCTAGGAAGATGTTTTATCTTCTCTTCTTGTCTTTGCAGCCATCGTCTAGAAGGTACAGCAATTCCGTATTCAGGACGTCGTGCAAGCACTTTAGTGATGCGGACGACGAGATCGTCCGACAAGTCTTGAATCCCTATGCTCATGAAGGGGTAGATGTAAGACAATGGATGGTTTTTTTCGTAACGAGTAGTCCGAGTCAACAAAGTGACTTCACAAATAACAATGGATCGGATTTAGGCTGTTGAATCAATTTTATGTAAGTAGTTCTGCTTGGAATAAGTCGACAAAATTTGGCAGCGTGTGGAATAGGCTCGAAATTGTGCCGTTTATATGCTTCATTCGCCCGAGAACAACTGGACAATGGTTATCGTTTCAAAGACATCGAATGCTTTGTGAGGCTCCATGGAAACCATAGCAGCGAGGCAGTATTCTTTGTCTAAACGTCATACAGATGCAGTCGGCTTGTTGTAGAAACCTGTGCATTGTTGTCGATAGTCCAAGTCGAAGTCGATGGAGATGTCGAGACCGAGCATGTAAAGAAATGTTGAGCCTTCGTATAACCTGCTAAATAGAATAGTACTGGCTCGATCTCAAAGGAAAATGTACTCACCAGAAGAAACTGGTATTCCCTTAGGTGCTAAGTGACGGCTTCCTAGGGTCGACTTGTCCTCAGTTACCACACAATGAAAATTGTGTCCATCATTTAAACGTCGGTCCATGTATCAATAACGGCAATGTGGACTGGGCAAAGTATATATTCAGACGACCTTATACGTCAATGCCCCTTTCATCATGATAGTCCCTTTGGCAAATTTCTCTATGGAAAGTGACTGCACGTCTTCGATACAACCGCCTAATGCTAGTCAAAAACGCCGTTCGGGTGCCACCCTGCATGCACGCTGATAAACATTATGGACATCATAACCACAACATATGTATCATAAACCTTTAGGTTCCGGCGAAGTGTACATGTTTCCTTTCTGAAACCGTCGTTGTTGCTGAGATTTTGGAGTTCCACTATACTGCGACTGGAACTCGGGATATATGATAATCGCTATCTCTCATACGTTCTAGCCGGATTTTTAAAGCCTCGGTCCCATCATCAGGAATAGCAGTTTCTCGAAACCAGGGATGTGCCAAAGCCTGGCGAGCAGTGATCCGTTTGGCCGGATCATAGATGAAGATCTTCTGTAAAAGATCTAGGAAGAGCCGAAGAAAAGGGCTGGTAGCCGGAATAATATCCTAGCATCGCGTTAGATGGAGCTTCATTCTATTATCGTACAGACTTACACTTAGCCGTTTCATATTCCGAACGAATCGTCTCGAGGCTCTTGTGGTCTCGGCCGTGGGATAATCCAACTTCAAACGTTTGAAATATCTAAACTTTTGTTAGATAGCTGGTCTTGCTTCCATGCACGCTATGACTTACTTGGCAGGAGAATTGCTGCTGCTACGTGATGCCGATTTGTTGACCATTTGCACGAGATGTGTGTCAATTCGATTGTCGCACACGTTTTCCATCATGGCAAGATGCTCAAGGTTGTCGTGAGTCTGGAACAGAGCGTCTCCAGTAAAGAACTCAACCAGAATGCATCCTATACTCCAAATATCACATGGGAAAGACCAGCCAAGGCCAAGTATGATCTCAGGAGCACGATAATGCCGCGTGGAGACAACAGATGAATGATATTCGTCGTCGAATGTGGCAGATCCAAAATCTATCAAACGGATCTCGGTGTCGAGAAGGACTTTCCGTTGCGTGGCCTGTCGATTTGTCCCATTGGTTGATGATGGTATCCGCCGATTATAAGTGAAGGTCTGATAGGCGCTGTCACAAAGGAGGATATTTTCGGGTTTGAGATCGGTGTGAATGAGATTCAAGTCATGAAGAACTGGGTCGTATGCGTCAGCGTAAGGCATTCATCACGGCTTGTTCAAGTGCACTCACAAGCAACACTTGTCAGTAACTGACGGGCAAAGCTCTGTATTTGGCTGTTAGGAAAAGGAACAAAGTTGTTGCCTTTCAGGAAATCAAAAACACTGGAACCTAGTAGGTCCATCACTATGCAGATGTGCCCGCGGAAGTCGAAACAGTCCCGCAGATGGATGCATCTGTTGCGATTTTCTTCGTCGTTGGCCTTAAGAGTCTGTAGTACTCGCAGTTCGATCCTTGAAGCATCTCTGTACTTCTGTACTGCTCGGATAATCTTGATCGCAACAAGTTTGTTTCGCCTGCGATCGCGGGCCTCAACCACTTTACCAAATGTGCCTTGTCCGAGCAGTTTCCTTATTTGATCTTTACAGAAATTAGAGCCTGATGGAGGATGAGTATAGCGGAAGACAAATATACTAACATGTTGATGTGAGATCAGCATCGGGGACCACTATGTAGTGTCCATCATCGTCATCAATCTTGATACCGGTCTG